TTTTACAATATTACCTATTCGTTACAAACAGTATTCTATTTAAAATAAACCGAGCACATTTTTCCGATCAACAGCAAGCGGATTTGTACGACTGCTTTATTCATAGTGGTGGTAGTCGTCGCGCAGTCGCGTTGTACTACCAAAAATTTCCTGATCGCCCCAGAGTAAAGCACAAAACGCTTATTCGCGTTGCCCGCAATATGAGGAGATACAGATCAGTTGCTGTTCCATCAGCAAGAAATCGGATGCGTAATTTCGACGAAAAATCCAAATTCCTCTTTCGGAAATGTTGAAAGGGTGTTAGGTTTTTCAAAAAATAAAATTAAAGATGTACTCCGGACTTACAATTTTAAGTCTTCAACGTCTTGCAGAAATGTCGATTTGGGAGGCTGATGAAAACGTTCTTCCATACGTCCAAGTCCACGTGGAATGGCATACTAAACCGTTGGTATTTTCGAAGTGGGCATAAGAAAATCCAAGAATTTCGTATTCCTGTCATCAGGTGGTTCATAGTATCAACGTTTGGTATGGACTTCTCGGAAATAAATTTATTATTTATTTCTACGAAAATAATTTAAATGGTGCTAAGTTACTTCATTTTTTGAGGGAGGTATTACCAACACTATTAGATGATGTCCCTCTGCAACAACGAAAAAGAACTATTGTCCAGTTTGATAGATGCTACGCTCTCAATTCTTTGGAGGTGAGACGTTATTTGAATCGTCACTTCCGGGATAGATGGATAGGACATCATGGCTCGATCTGTTAACCTCCTCGGTTACCCGATTTAGCTTCACTTGACTATTTTCTATGGGGCCATTTAAAAAACACTGTCTGAGCCAATCATAACCCAGCAACCTCAGTTGAAGAACTCCGGGAAAAAATACAAAATGCTTGTCAGTCCATCTCCCCTGACTCTATTACTCTGAGCACCGGTGAAGGCAGTTCGAACATGAAATGTGATTAATGTAGTCAATTCACTATTTTTCGTGGTCCGCTTGACCACTTAATAACATTAAGCGAAGTCACGATAGCTCAAATGGTAGAGCAGCGGCGTATCAAGCCGAAGATCCTGGGTTCGAATCCCGCTCGTGACACTGACTTTTTTTATCTCAACTTAAAAACCTTAATTAATTGAATGTAGTCAACAGCAAACCAAATGTTTTTTCAAAGTTTTTACCATAACTTTGTCATTTTTTGACCAGTTAAAAATTCGATTAAACCATTGTTTTCAGCTTTAAAAAATCCTTTAAATGATGTGTCAGGATGTATAGGGTCGTTTTTTGAAATTTTGAAGTTGAACTGGGCCTGAGGTTCCACGAATAATTTTTCTCAAAAAAAAGATAAAATTTGAAACTACATTAAAAATTATTAAACAAGTTTTTTTTTTGATAGCGTCATTGATTTAAGAGAAAAAGGACACCCTGTATATTATGTAATGAGATACAATATTATTTTATTGCCAGAAATAAAATTTATTTTTCTATCCAATTATTATTTTTTAACAATTTAATGACCATGTGTAAAAAATAATATATATAATATAATGAGATAGAACACGATTGTTAGTTTACATATATCCTGAGGGGGTGCCAACTATGTGTGTTGCTTTGCCATCTTTCTGAATAGTTACTTACTAAGGAAGTCCCGAAGCCTTCTCCGCATCAGTCGCCTTACTGGGCTGTAGGAGTGGGTAATATTGGACATGGGTCGGTATAATAGGGTTGAACATTTCTTGGGGGTTAGGTTTTTAACGAAGGGTATTTAGAGATTATTGAGAAGGGTAGTAAATGTAGTAAAGAGTGTTAACAAATGGCCTGAGGACTTTGAATCGGAAGGACTTATTCTTTGGATGTTGGAAGGCTTAGATGTACCCCATAGTTCTAATCTGGTGTCCAAATCGATTTCAATAGTGTTTTATAAGTGTTAATTTGTTTTTGTTGATATGTATGATGTTTTTGATAATAATTCGTATAATAGTCTGAAGCGTCTGTTTAATTCTTGTCTTTTAGATTATACATGTCGTTTAGAGGTTAGACTTGAGTCAAGATAGAAACCAAAGTAGCGTTTCTTCGGGTGGAAGGGACAAGGGTAGGGGGATGTGAGGGTTGTCGTGGATTTCATTTTCCTTTATTATTGTGGTTAGGCTTGGATTCGGACTTGGCCCGTCGTCTCGACGAATAGGAGATGATGGAATGTGGGGCTTTAGGATTTAAGAAGGAAGAAGAAGAAGAAAAATAATTTTATTCTGGGACTGGTGTCCCCTAAGAATAATTTACATGAACTAAATAAAGGAAGTTCCTTCTTTGAAGTTAAAAGTAAAAAAAAGATAGAAATCTTGGCACAATGTATACCAATAACGCAGGACAGAAGAAAAAATTACGAGAATATTAAACAAAAATAACAAATGTTAACGTGAGTCTCTGCTTGGAGGGAGAGGAGGTGATTATACAGGTGGGATTTAAAGGAGGAAAAGGAGGCAGCGTGACGAAAAGAAAGGGGAAGGGAGTTCCAGAATTTAGGGGCTCGGATCAGAAAGGATCTTTCGAAAGTATGGGTTGTATGTTGCGGAAGGGTAAGGTCGATTGGGGATGAGCGGGTCTTACGAGTGAGATGTGAGGACTTGAATTGGAGGGATTGGATGATATAAGGAGGACGACGAGTGTGGATGGACTGGAAAAGAAAGCAACCTAGGAAATACTGTGCACGGAAGGAGGGGAATAGCCAGGAAAGTTGGGATTACAACCCCGACACCCGGGATCCCCGTGGGGTGCCGTACACAAATCTTACGCAACAATTTAAAATACGCTTCAAACGCGCGTTTTCTCCCTCCAAGAGACCACCGTATGCCAAACAGCTATAATCGAAGAAGGGAAGTTTAAGGGAAGATACAAGGAGTTTGCTGGTGGAGAAAGGTAAGAGAAGCCAGGGCCGACGAAACAGGCTGAGGGAGGCAATGGAATGGCGGAAAATTTGGGAAATGTGAGAATGACAAGAAAGGTTTTGGTCAAAGACTACTCCTAGGTTTTTAACCGAAGAGCAAAAGGGGATGGGATGGTTATTTAGCATGAGAGGTGGGTTGCTGGGGAGTGAATTGTGGAGTTGCCTGAACTAGGGAATTTTTATCGGCCCATTCGTTGATGGAGTTTAGGTTTTTTTGGATCTTGAGAATGGCCGAGTGAAGATCGGAAGGGTGGAAGGATATGTATATTTGGGAGTCATCGGCATAAAGGTGTTCGTTACAGGACTGGATGGAGTCGTGCAGATCATTGATATATATGGAAAAAAGGATAGGAGAGAGCCTTGGGGCACCCCAGATTTTAGAGAGAGGAAGGAGGAGGTAAGGCCATTGGGAAGGGAGACAGCTTGATGGCGATTGGTAAGGTAGGAGTGGAACCAACGGATGGTGCTGGCGGAGAAGGAAAAAGATTCGAGTTTAGAGAGGAGAGAAGAGTGAGGGACAGAATCGAAGGCTTTAGAAAAATCAAGAAGGACAATTATAGAAACTTTCCGTTGGTCCATTGCTAAGTGGAGGTCACTGGTAATTTTTATTAGTGCTGATTGGGTAGAATAATCTTGGAGGAAGCCAGATCGGAGGGGGTTGAGAAGATGGGACTGTTCAAGGTGCCTGGAGACTTGCGCTTAGACCAATCTTTCTAGGGGCTTGGACAGGTGTGAGAGGATGGAAATGGGACGGTAGTTTGTAGGGGAGGTTGGGTTGGGGGTTTTATTGACAGGGTGGACAAGAGCTTTTTGCCAGGCTGTCGGAAAAATAGAGTTTTGGAGTGAGTAGTTATAGATGTGAAGTAGAACAGGTAGTAATATTGGGAGGCAGAGTTTAAGAAAATGGATAGGGATGCCATCAATTCCAATGGAATTGGAGTGGGATTTGGTTATGGCCTCGAGGACTTCGGCTGGTGTTAGATAGGTGAAATACACAGGCTCATTGAAATGAATTTCCCAGGATACTTTATAAAATTTGCTGGGGAGGGAATGCTGAGGAGTTGCCTGGACCCGATAATTATGGCGGTGGATTTGGACGGATTGAGGACTAGGGAATTTTTATGGGCCCATTCGTTGATGGAGTTTAGGTCTTTTGGGATCTTGAGAGTGGCGGAGTGAACATCGGAAGGCTGGAAGGATATGTTTACTTGGGAGTCATCCGCATATAGGTGATAGTTACAGGACTGGATGGAGTCGGGCATTGATATAAATGGAAAAAAGGATAGGAGAGATGCTAGAGCCTTGGGGCACCCCAGATTTTAGAGGGAGGAAGGAGGAGGTAAGGCCATTGGAAAGGGAGACAGTTTGGTGGCGATTGGTAAGGTAAGAGTGGAAATTTAGGATTTAGGATATTCTTGTGGCTAACTACAAGGATCTTTCGGATGTTGTTAACCTTGATAGATAAGAATTGAAGGTATTGTTGCGATGAATTTGTAATTCTATCTTTACGTTACGGAATAATATGTTGATGACTTAGGTCAATTATTAGAAATTGCATTTATGGAGTTTTACATATGCACATATTCTGTATTTTAGGCAAATATAAACTCAAAATCAACATCACCACTGTTCTTTAATGAAACGCCATTAGCCACCTAAACAAACCACCCATCGGTATTTCCCGTATCTCATTTACTCAACAAATGTCACACCTGTTTCTCTAGATATGAATAGAAATGAGCATAGGACTCAAACTACCCAATCATATATTCATAAACGTCATATTGATAATTGGTGCAAATTTGATACAGTTCAAATATATACTGCTGTCGACCCTACACGACCTTAGAAGCCACTGTATTAACGACATATGTTAATGACCGACCCGTTTACCCGGGAACCCATTGAATACCAAATCACGATGGCAAGCGGTCATCGGTTTCCAATAATCACTTTTTTATTAGAATCCCCTTTCTACCATTTTTATAAACAATAAGCGTCCGCGTTAACTTCTTTTATAATCAATTGTTGTTAATAATTATGTTTGGTTTAAACAGGCTAAGGAACTTCCGGCTAAAGACATGAGTGGTACTTCCGACCCTTACGTCAGAGTCACTCTCCTACCTGACAAGAAGCACCGACTCGAAACGAAGATTAAGCGAAGGACCCTAAACCCAAGATGGAATGAAACTTTCTATTTTGAAGGTAAGCAGTTAAAATTAAGTAAGCAAGAAGTTGAGGAAATGTATTGTATCTATAAGTTCAGTTTAAAAAAGGGGGAGGAGGAATACCTCCAGCTTATTTAATGGAAAAGTTAGCCTCCTTTCGGTATCCATTACCTTCGGAATCCCTGGACTAAATTAGACGCATTTTCTGTACTGCTCTAGTGATTATTAGTGACGTTCAATATTATCGATATGAGAAAGTAATTACACCACTAAAAAGGATATTAAATGGAGTACGTTTTCTGAATTTTGCTGGTTTCTCGGTTTGGAAATAGTAGTTTAGAAACACCATAGTAAGTTTCTCAATTTTGAAAAAAAAATGTTTTTCAAAGTTCTCGCTACTAAAATGCTTATTTCTCGAACGTTTACACGTTTCGTATTGATCACATCTTATTGGAAATTTAACGTAGTTTTCAATGGTATCAACAGATTTGTCCAAAACCTTACAGTTTTGGAGTTATCATGGCTTATTTGAAGCTAGGTCTTGAAATCTTAAAAAATCAGAAAAATTGAAATAACTCCGAAACTGTTGAGATTCGGACAGTAGTTAATTAGGACTTTTTGGTTCCATTTTGAATGTAGAATCTACGGGCAAAGTTTGTAACCCCAGTAGGCGAATACCCTGTATTAATGAACTTTTGTTTTTTCATGGTATAGGGGAGGATTATGGTATTTTCCAAGCCCCAAAATGAAAATATATATTTGTATGTAGGTAGGTGTATTTTTATTTTATTAATTACATTAATAAATAAGTTTATAGTTTTAATTTTTTATTTGTTACTGTTAAACCACTCAGTAATTACATAAATAAATAAGTTTACAGTTTCCTAATTTTTTGAAATCTGTTATTGCTAATGTTACCCAAATGTTCAAATCCTAATTGCTAAGATTTAATTAGATTAAATTAGAATTCCGATACTTGAATAGTTGAATACTTCTTTTGATACCAGTGTAGAGTGCTGGTATCAAATATTCTTTAGTATCGCACGTGAATAGGATTAAAGAAAAAATTTAAATGATGATGTTCGAAACAATTAAAAATTATTGAAATTCCCTTAATGATTCTACGTCCTTAGATGTAAAAAATGTCAATTATAAGTCGAAATTATTAAGGTTTTATTTAACTGCATTTTTCTTTTATTTTAAATGCGCAATCCGCGCCAAAATTAAGCAGGATGTCCGCCGAAACTCTACTTCCGGCCAGCGGCGTGTTGATTGGGAAAATGGGGTCGTAAATTATTATCCACGCTATATCCTGTTTGGAATATTTCCCCGAAATTTTTTACACCGTTTTATCGGTCCGGCGGTGTTGTAGATTTGATCGTCGACAGGAAGGGAGATTTATCAGCCCCGGTGTGGGGGTGGAGATTAGGCTAACAAATCCATCCTCCTGGGCCACCTGCATTACCGATTTGGAAACGTTCAGCGCCTAATTGTGTCACTTTTCATCGTACAATCCGCTCAACGTTGACGTTTGTGGTTTTAAATTATGTCAGGAATATAAACAGTTCCTGGAATTTTTCTTGTGAAAATCGGAATTACGAATTCATGCAAGTTCTATAACTTTAGATTTCTTCCAATGCACATGAGACGAATAAAAAATTCTTATGTTCCCACAGTTAGGTTTTTCTTTTATAACCCTGATTAATTGTACTTTTCATTGTTCTGTTCTTTCTTCTGTTTATTTTGTTTCGCGTAGAACCGCAAAGAGCCCCTTTGAGACCATTTCAACCCTCAAAATACAATCGTTTTGGGGATATTAAAGACAAAGAAAATGCTGCTCCTTTCGGCAACGAAAATAAAATCCGACGTAATATAAATGTAAAATGGCTTTCTGGTCTTATGTTTTCGGACAAATTTTGACAAAAATGTCCTTTTTATTATTTTACTTAAAAAATCAAGATTAACCCTTTCAGCCCTAAATTATCATATGTTAAAAAATTGACTTTTTTTACTATTTAAGAATGTCTAGAAATCGCACTTGATATTTCTGGAATTTTTTGACCCACCATTTTGAAAACATGGAAATGCTGCCCTGAGGCAACAGTAGGGAAATATAGTTGGTTTTATTTTTCCGCTACCTATTTTACTACAAAATTAAGTATAGTTTCGAAGATAATTTTTCATTTAGAATCTGCTTGTGCTATGAGAATGGAATTTTAATAAATTGGCGCGTTAAGCCGGCTTGATAATCAAGTTAATAATGATTTATCAAGATGATGAAAACAGCAAAGTAATCGTTGAATGTTGAGTTTCTTGTATAATTTTTTAGGATATCTCAAGATAAATTTTTATAACGATAATTTATCGATTATTTATACATTTTGAAAGTTGTTTTCATTCTAAAAAAATTATACTAGAGACGCAAAAATTCATCCATTCTTTCTGGAGATATTGAAGTTTTCCTTCAGAACTCGACAGTTTCCTTTTAAGGCGCAATTGATGGCTGTTTAAAGTTAGGTTTTAAAAACTGAACACTAATTAAATTAAATTTTCAATTTTCTTCTTTTTTGCCCAGTTACAAGTTAAATTGAAGTTATGAACGAAAGCTTCAATATCTTCAGAACAAATCAATGAACATCGATTTTGTGGTCGATTTTTTTCACGTATTTCAAAAATTCTTTCCATTAAAAAACAAAACAAAAGCAGAACCTCAAAAATTTAATAAATACAGAAAAAATCGATGATTTGTAGTGTCTATTTGTTTTCTTCTTTTTCTTTCAATGTCTTTCAAAATTTGTGAACAAAATTCATTCCACATCTATCTTTATCGATTCGTCCTGGAGATATTGTATTTTTCCTTTAGAACGCGATATTTCGCTCCTGCAAATGATTGTTGTTGTTTAAAGTTGTTTTCTTTTAAATCCACACTAATTAAATAAATATTTTATCCCAATTAAATATTCTTTTTATCCAAGGTTTTTGGTTGAGATGAAAATTTAGAGTCACGAGCGAGATTCGACTATCGTGAGCTATCGTGTCAAGTAGTTGGAGCAGCTGTGTATTGAGCCGATAGTCCTGGGTTCGAATCCTGCTCGTGGCACTAAATTTTCAATTCACCAAAAACCTTACAAAAAAAGTTATTAATTGAAATAATTATTATGGTCACTTATGAACAGTAAACAAAGATGATTAAATAATTTGTGTTTTTAATCAGTTACAAATACGCCCAGCGGATCTCAAGTTATTAATTTCAAATACATTAAAAGAAGAATGGAAAAACCGCTGGGCTCGGCAAAATAGGAATAACCCTGCCAAACTGTGGCAGGTTAAGAAAGACATCGGTCCCTGGTTCACGGAAAATGAGTCAAAAAGGGAAAAGGTCATACTGACAAGACTACGCATAGGTCATACAAGGATTACACACGGGCACCTTCTAGCAGGAAAGCGACCTCAAAGGTGCCCATTATGCAAAGATAGAGTAACAGTCGAGCACCTTTTCAATTGTAGAAGGCTCGACGTTTATAGGCAATATTTTGGAATATCGTCGGACCTGTGCGTAGTCTTGGGGCACGGCAGCGGGCACAAATCGCTGTACCGGTACCTCAGGGCTATAGGGATCTTCAAATGTATATAGTTTATGTGTGTTTGTTCTGTGCTTGTGTTGTGTCTGAAGTGTTTGTGTCGTGTTTGTGTGGTGTTTATGTTATTACATTAGGATGAACGTAATTTATTTGCGTGAAAGGAAGGGGTTATTTACCCCGCCCCGAGGAATATCGAGTACTCTGGGGTGAGTGTGTGATGTCTGGGGAGCAAAAGTAAGTTATTAGCGCGAATGGAGTGGGTTCGGCCCCGCCCCGAGGAATATCGAGTACTCTGGGGGAGTGAATGTGACCAGACTTTTCTGTTAGTATTGTATGTTGTTTATATTTTACTCTGTTGGAATGAATGTAATTTAAGCATGAAAGGAAGGGGTTATTTACCCCGCCCCGAGGAATATCGAGTACTCTGGGGTGAGTGTGTGACGTCTGGAGAGTAAAAGTAAGTTATTAGCGCGAATGGAGTGGGTTCAACCCCGCCCCGAGGAATATCGAGTACTCTGGGGGAGTGAATGTGACCAGACTTCTATGTTTGTGGCGATGTATATGTTATGTATTGTATGTTGTGTATCAATTCTTAAATTGACAACCTGAGGTACTAACAAGAGGCTAGCTTTTTAAAATAACGACGTAATATACAAGTAAAAGCAGAGAGTCAGTAACCAGATCGAGATGCTCAAATGGCTGCAGTTCAATACAAAATACGCGAGAAAGACAGGAAAGAGAAGGAATACATGCGGAGGGCCGGCGATGACCTCAGCTGTTTGTCGGCCCATAAACCTTCCACTTTATATATATAATCAGTTACACGTTAAATATAGAGTTCTGAACAAAAAAATAATAATGTCCTCAGAACAAACGAATTTTTGTGTTTGTGATATTATTTTTTGAAAATGGAAAGGTCTTTTAAAATGCGTGAAAAAAAGTCACCCTCAAAATCAATCCTCACCGGTTCGTTCTGTTTTTGTTTAAACCTAGATTTAAAAAAATCAACACAAATTAAATTAAATTTTTACTTTTTAACCAATTACACGTTAAATTGGAATTGTACAGTTGTGAACAAGAAATTTCAATAACTTAAGAACAAATCGATGAATTTTTGAATTTCTGGGATCATTTTTTAGAGGGGAAAGGAGTTTTAAAATGGGTAAAAAATATTGCATTACCATTTACAAAAATTCACTAGCTTTCGTGGTCCGCTTGACCAATTAATATCTTTCAATTAATTAAGGTTTTTAGTTGAGATAAAAAAGTCAATGTCAGAGCGGGATTCGAACCCACGACCTTCGGCTAGATACGCCGCTGTTCGACCGCTCGAGCTACCGTGACCTCGATCCACTCGGACCCTAACTTTCCATCTCAACCCCACCTTTTGAATTTTCCCTCCTTTTTGCCATTTTTTTAATCTCAACTAAAGACCTTAATTAATTGAAAGATATCG